ACAGTCTTAAAAGGTCAGGGGCTGCAACATAAGTACATTTCAAACTAGTTGATTCCCTCCAGGTATCACCACAATGCCCACCCCATCACAGAGGAACAAAGTACCTCCTCTCTTCAGCCAGGTGAACAATCCCCCCTTTAACGACCGACCTTTCACAATCAGAGACAGGTTTCAGATATTACAGGCTAACAATGGAACCAAACGACCCACTCGTCGGTTTCTATTTGCATGTTTCCAAGCAATACAAGGCCTTGTCTATATAAAGCCTGAAACTCAATGGGAATCCAGACATTTTGAATTTAGAAGGTTTCCTGGACAGGGAGGGAAACGTCTTCAAACCTTGGAAACCAAGTCCAGTAGATTGTTTTTTAAACTTTTACTGATTGGCATTCCTATAGAGCTTCTATCCTTTGGATTATAGATGCATCTCTTCTCCAACAGACATAACTATTGGCATGAATTTTAGGAATTGGGCAAAGTAAATCTCCTATTCCATCACCTTTATTGGGGTCAACAGTAATAACTCTACCATGGGGAAGAAATAGACTTTTGACAGCTGTGCTGGTTGTTTGTCTTATGTGTCTCCATTCTGTCCGTTGATCAACTTGCAACCCGTCTAGGGTTTACTTCACATCTCCATCTCTGAGCACTGGAGGTAGGCAGAGTAACCGTGCAAGGATAAGCTCAGGTAGAAAATGGATGGACCAATATCAAAAAATAATAAATAAATCTTTAAAATGATAATCTGATCACATATTTCAAGGTTTTTTCTCTTTGAATTGTATCAAAGATTTTAATATTTAATTAAAAAAAAATACGACAGCTATATTTCAGGTAACTTAATGAATCCACATTTAATTACAGTCTGATGTAGGAACCTTGTCTGCTGTTTCACAGCTGAATGAGCAGAAAGTGTTTCAGCCTCGTCATGTCAGCAGGTAACCTGCTGTCCACTCTGTCAAACCACCGACGGCAGGGAGTCGGATCCGAATCAGAAAAAGCGGCAGTGAAGTGGATTTCCCGTCGCTTCCTCCCAACCTCATCATCCATCAGGCTAACTAATGGAGCCAGAAGGAACACAGGAAAACCTAAAGAGATGGAGAGAGGTGATGTAGCGAGCAGAGTAGCAGCTAAAACACTGCTGAAATGTTTCCTGCTGCCCTCATCAACATGCAGATGTGTTCAGGTAGCAGTCAGCTCTCAGTCATCTGATCAGACACTGATGCAGCTGTTTACAGCGGTGATGTCGGCTCTAACAGCTGCTGTTTATGCTGCTGCGAGGATGAAAGATTGAGGGGGACTGTCAGTAAAACTAACCAACAAAGGTGATATGGGAGCATTTGTCTTTTAGGTTGATAAATACAGGCAGAGAGGAACTGAAGGATTCTGAAAAAAACGGAGTTGTTTCAATTAAAGTATTTTGTGATTGAATAAAGAACATCTCTGTTTTTGGACTACAAAAGCAGCTAAATGATTTAATAATAATAATCTTTTAGTTGTTTTTTAGTCAATGTAGGAGCATCATTGTCACAATGCTTTGCAACATACTGCAACATTTATTCATACCATTTAAATGTGTCAAATTTCACCAAATTAGAGCCTCATACCTGAGTGAAATGCAGAGCTAGAGTATTTTGGGGTATGTCGTCACCAGCTTTGCTAACCTAAAGAACCTAAAGAGTTTTCACATTTTCATCTCTGCCTATCTCCCAATGCAACTGTGAAGCCAACCAACCGTATTCTTAAAGGTTTCGAGAACTAATGAAGGATTCTCACACTGCCTACTGCTTTGGTTTAGACAAAAAGGTTATAAGAAACAACTTTCACTCTCAGCTACTTGTGCAATAATCTAGATTTGGCACACAGAGGAAAAATGTTCATGTTACTGTAAGGTGGTTCATCAGTATTTTACCATGTTCAACATGTGACCTTTAAATTAAAAGGAACAAAACCCACGGAGAAAAAATATATATATTTTTTTTACATCAACAAGAGCCAGTGGCTTTAAAATAATAAAATCTGAGTTGAGGAATTCTATAGTTCATTGGATAAGGATGGTAGCTTAACGAATTTGAAGACATAATTTTGGTAGTTCATTCATTTAACCTTAAAAACTAAGTGAAAGAAACATTATCACCAAACGTTTCACTTTTCCTCCATATGTGGTTATGTGTTCCCATGTTTTGGGTTTTCTAATGTTCTGGTTTGGTTCCTCAGTCATTTTCCCCGCAGCTGCTTGGTTCAGCAGTTCTAATACATTTCAGCCTAAAAATCAAAAATGACGAGACCCCTAAAAATGTTTAGAACTATTTAAAGGAATAGTACAACCAAAACATGATTAGCCTTCATTTTCTACTCACCCCCATGCTGAACAACACTCTGGAGTACTTTTTTGATATCTCAAATGCATCTGGAGATCTGGGAGGCTTCTTGCTGTCTGCTGACATTCAAATAATGGAGGTCTATGGCGCCCGAGGCAGAAAGGTCCATAAAAGTCCACAAAAAACGTGTCAATATTCCTCCATACTGCTCGTCCAATGTATTCCAAGTGTCCTGAGTGGGTAGCATCCAGAATTTACTCGAAACGAAGTCATTTAGAATGTTTTTAGAGCATAAACAGTAGTGTATAGGATTTCCTGAAAGCGCGCGCCTGCGCGTTCACGACGCTACGGACGCTGGCAGACCAAACCAGATGAAAGTGCGCATTCAGCGTCTGCTCTGCCGATAATGCAAGCGTAGAAGAAGAAATGTGCTGTTTACCTGTGCAAAGAAAGAAACAACGAAAGAAAAATGTCTGAGGACTTCAGTGTTGAGGAAGAGCATGAGTTCTTTGCCGAGCTGAATGCGCACTTTTATCTGGTTTGGTCTGCCGCAGTTTCCGTAGCGTCATGAACGCGCCGGCGCGCGCTTTCAGGAAATCCTATACACTACTGTTTATGCTCTAAAAACATTCAAATGACTTCGTTTCGAGTAAATTATGGACGCTACCCACTCAGGACACTTGGAATACATTGGACGAGCAGTATGGAGGAATATTGACACGTTTTTTGTGGACTTTTATGGACCTTTCTGCCTCGGGCGCCATAGACCTCCATTATTTGAATGTCAGCAGACAGCAAGAAGCCTCCCAGATCTCCAGATGCATTTGAGATATCAAAAAAGTACTCCAGAGTGTTGTTCAGCATGGGGGTGAGTAGAAAATGAAGGCTAATCATGTTTTGGGTGTACTATTCCTTTAACTCTATTAAGATTATTTTTCAGAATTACATGTAAAAATTTGATTCATCATTGTACAGTAAATTAGATAAGTAATTATAGATTTTGGCTCCCCTTACCGCAGTGCCTCAGGGATGACATCACTGAGGCCTCTGGTCTCAGTAATCGTCCCCTCAGTTTTTGTGAAAACCATGGTGTCTCATAGACTCCACTTTAGGAGCTCCTCCCTCAGCAAAGACCCAGAGGCTTGTTTCACAAAGCAGGCTTTTTATGTCTCAAGTTTTCTAAACCTGAAATCAGGGAAACTCAGAGTTTTCCAGGTCATAAAGAGATTTTACTCAACCTCTGTTTCTGTTGCCATAGTAACATTCTCCCCAGAGCTAACTGGTTTAGAGCAGGTTTTCTTCAGTAAACTCAGTGTCCTCTGTCCCCACTCTCCTTAAAGCCAATCATGTTGTTTTATTTCCTGATTTAATCAGGAGAGTTCTGTTGTAGTTTTTTGCAAACAATAAAAAGAAAAAGAAAATCAGTCATTAGGTTATGTCTTTAAAACAAAAACATAGCACATTCTTTTGACGAGAATCTAATTACAAAATGATTGGTATTCATTAAATACGGAGGGTTCTCTGACCATGTATAGATTCAGAAAGTTATCTTTATGAATGCTATCATTTTACCTCCCAATCCATCACTTACATCAGCAACCATGTCTTCCCATTTGCAGCATTACAAAGACGTAAACGATATTTAGCTAAACTTGATATCAATAAGAGAATATTGATGAATTGTATGTGATAACAGAAAAATTAAAAACACAAACAGCCACTAAGTATTACTTTCTAAAGGAAAGTAGAATCAAAATGAGGAGGAACTCCATGAGATGATGCACAGGTCCTACCAGTTGGAATGTTTTTTATACTGCTTCTCCTGCTGACAGGTGATTTCACCTAAATAGAATACATTGATCCATTACCATTCAACCAGTGAACTAGCTTCAACCGTTATCTTATTGTAATTAAAGCAGTCTATAACAGGCTGTTTAGATATTATTACCGGTAGTCTGTCTGAATAGGTTTTGTTGAAATCTGAAATAATTATTTTTATGAAATGTTCATGTAGAAAATGACGTGAAACAGAAACAGCTGCCTTAAGTTCAGGAAGCAGTGAAGTTGTGCATACAGCCCATTCCAGTGATGTGAAATATGTGCTTCCTGTTGTCATGGTTACTTGTTGAATCATTGCTCCACTGATAATGGCTTTTCATTCTTGTTACACATTTGCTCAACTCTGAGTGGACCTATTTAGAGTTGATTAAACTAACTCAAACTGTGAAAAAATTGAGTTTTCAACCTCAGGCTGGATCATTTCAGAGCTCAGGATTAGAGTCTGAGTTTAGTTTGTTAATCTAATTTATGAAACGGACCCCTGGTCTCTTTATTTTCATTTTTTCTTTCAAGATTCTTACCAGATTCGTCTGTTCTCATCCAGTATTCATGCCAAATCTGTGATATTATTTGTGCATGTATACCTTGCTCCCTTTTTTTTGTTCTTTTTTTTTTTCTTCTGTGTTTATATGGTAGGCGTTGCTTTAATAAAGTACTTAGATTGTGATTATTTTGTGCAAGTGTTCTCCACATCCACAGAAAAACTGTATTAAATCTAATTCAAGAACAAATGTGATTTAAAGACTATTAAAATGGAGTTTTTGAAAATAAGGTATGGATATTTGACTTGTTTAATTAAAAATATACTTTGCTTTTTTTTTTTTTTTTCTTCCTCCAGAGTCTGATGCCTTGGATCCCCACCTATCTAGGCTGGCCTCTCTGGGTTTTACTGGCTGCCTGTCAGTAGTTCAGTTTAACTCGGTCAGTCCTCTGAAGGCTGCTCTCCTCCACCCGGACACCAGCCCTGTCCACATCACTGGACCTTTGGTTCAGTCCAACTGCGGCTCTGCAGCTTCAGCCAATCCCTACGCAGCTGAAAACATTCACCATATATTGGGTATGGGATGGATTTTATTGAACACATTTAACTGAATGTTTTTTTTGCTGAAATTTGATTTATGTTATTAGGGTCAAAAAAGGTACCAAATTTAGCCAGAGGTTTTTAGACAGACATCCAGAAAAGGGCTTATTGAAAACCCCAATGTTTCCCTGTATTCCTTATAGCCTGACATTTTAGCCATAAATATATTAAGAATCTTTTTTTTTTTTTTACCTTATCCTCCATTCCTAGATTTGTTTTTTCCTGTTTATGGTTTCTTTCTGCACCTTGTAACTGGGTCCCCATAATAACACTAGAACATGAAGGAGAAATAGCCATTAATGTCCTTTATTTACTATTAGCAGTTTATGTCTGTCATATAAGAAAGTATTCACAAAGCCTAATTTAGGAAGTGTTGGAATGCCTGCAGTCTAGATCACAAAGCTTTATAGATTGCATATATAAAATAATGTAGAAATCTGTTTGATCAGCTTACTACTTGATTATCTTTTAAGTGTTTATACTGCCTGAATATAAACAAGCAGGCTTTTACAGGGAATTACCGATATCTGTTTTATTTGAGGTCTGATATACAGATTTTACAGTTTTTCCCACACCTATTAATACAATCCACATCAATTTTGTTCTAATTCAGTTATTTATAAGAAAGGTCAAACAAATAGGGTACTCTAAGTGCAGCAGGTTCTGTCATAGAAGTAGTAGCTGTCAATTCAACAGGAAACAAATCACTTACACAGCTAAATGTGTCCCTTAGCCATTGTTTTTCATCTGTGGTCCTCAGGACACTCTGCCCTGCAGCTTTTAGGTGTTTTCAAGATTTACCACAGATTGTTTCCTTTGGAAGCTGATTAACAGACAATGCTAAACTGAATTCCTCTGAATCAGTCGTGTTAGACCAGAGAAACATCCGAAACCTGCAGCTCAGTGTCCCCTGAGGTCTATAGTTGAAAAACACTTCTCTAAGCTGTTAAACTAATAACAACATTCATTAAGTTAAAATGTGATTTTAATCTTCTACAGAAAAAAATAGTAATAAAGAGATGTTAAGTGTTCAGTTTGAATCACTGGGTAACTGGATGAATCGGTAGTTGTTGTTTTTTCTCTTTTCTGCTGAGTACATGATTTTTCCACTTCATTTTTCTTTTCCAGTTTGCTGATGACTTGTTCCTTTCATTTTCTGCCTTTCCAAATCCTGTCTCCTGCTGACACTTTCCTCTTCACTTTTCCCTCTCTACTGTAGACCAGTCTGGTTCAGTGGGCTCAGGTCAACCTTTAGTCAATGCCATCAGGACTGACTCAGCTCTTATCGGAGGTACTAAACCATTGCTGTCTTTCGCTGCAATAAAATCTTTTTACCTTTGTTTATATACTTTATTAGGTTCTAATCAGCCAAAGCATCTTTTATTTATAAAACTTGACTCTGATGTATTTTTGCTCAGGCAAAACTGTTTGGGAAAAAGTTGAAGTTCAGATGAGGGTGAAGAGATGTGCAAAACAAGAATCAATTTAAAACCCATTTAAACTTTGGTGCTCACCCAGCATTAATTGATTCAAAGCGAAGACTATAAAGGTTCAATTTATGATTGTGCAGATAAAGGTGGGAAATGAGGAAGTCATTTCAAACTGTCCGTTCAATCTTTTTGTACACAAAGGGCAGATAACCTAATTAAACGACACAGAAATTTGCCGAAAAAGCGCACTTTGTCCTTATCATAAAAATATGGTCTTTTTTATGCATTATTGAACAGATTTAAAATTCAGCTTCAATCTATTATATCCAATTTAGTTTCTCCTAAAGTGCTCAGCCCTGTACCTTGCTGATGACATTTTTTCTTTTTAAATTAGCATTTTAATCAGCAGTGCAGGAAAGGAAATTTGCTGCGCTTCTCTTTTCAGGGGTTGCTTAATGTATAATGTATATAATGTTTTCATATCTGTAAATTAGAATATCACCCAAAACCTAATTCACTTCAGGAACTTAATTAGTGAAAATGTTAAAGGTCTATCTCGCATACAGCAATATGTTTCAACAAACTGGCTAGACCCTATAAAGAATATATAGGATCCATTATGGAGAGAGACAGGAAATACAAATGTGGACAAAATTCTTGGTACTCCTTGTTTAAGTAGTGAAAAACCCTGCATGGTCACAGAAATAATTGAAATCAGACAAAAGTAATAAGAAATAGAAACTATGAAAACGAAGAAACAGACATTGCTTTTCACCCATGCTTCAACTGAATGATTTAATAAAGATAAACACATAACACAAGCCTGGATAAAAAAAGTTGGTACTGTTAGGATAATTATCATTGATGATGTGTGAGTTTATTATAGCTTAATGTTAGCTGCCTGTTGCATGTCAGAACTGATGTTTTCCACAATAGTTTATCTAATTAAGACAGTTCCTCTGTCTGTATTTTTTTAACCCATTTTATATAACATTTAGCAGTTTAATGGCAGTGGAGAAGAAACTGTTCAGGTCCAGCTGATTCCAGAACAGTTTCTTCCCCCTCTGCCATTAGACTGCTAAATGTTATATAAAATGGGTTTAAAAAAAAAAAAAAACTCAATGTTGGAACTGTAACTATACAGTCGTATGTTTACATCACTTATTCTCACCACAGTGTTTTTTTTGTCTCAGTTTTTCTATCATTGCTGCTTACCTTTATCAAGGCTGCACTTTAAAAAATGAAAAGGTCTAGAGAGCTGTACTAAACGAAATTTCTTTTTGTATACAGTTGTGTGTATAAAATGACAAAATAAAATCTAAGTCTTATAATCTTCATTCCATACATGACAAATATTTGGAATGGAATGAGAGCGGTGTCCTTCAACTGAGAACAAAGTGTAATATTTTGATAAGGCTGGAGCCATGGATGTCTACTCATCTTCTAACATGTATGATGTAATGATGTAATGATGTGATGATGTGGCAGACTGGAGATTTATAAAATGCCTTTTTAACTGTTAGTCGTGGCCACTTCCCAAGAAGTGAGCCCGGGGGTGAGAAGCTGCCTTCAGTAGCTCTAAGCAACTTCTCTGATCTGAGTAAGATTACAATTTCTATCAGATCACTGTCATTTCTCATGGTTATTTAATACATATAAGTTATGAAGTGTTATTTAAACAGTTTGTCCTGAGTGATCTCTTATGAGGAAAAAGAACCAGAGAGAGAAAGCTTCAAGGTGCAGACAAAGAGAGCATATATTTAACAGCACCCCTAGTAAAGACTGAAAATAAGAGTGAAAGCGAGAGCTAAACGTAGTATCTGGCATGCCAGTTTTGTAAAATCGTATATATGCCAGTTGGAAAACGGCATATGCCGATTCCCAAATGGCATATGCCATTTTTCAACTGGCTTTATATCACCTAAAGGACATGTTGGATTTAAGTGTTTTCACTAATATGCGTCACAGGTGTCTACAATCTTGTAATTGTTTAAAAACATTTTTTAGTGAGATGTAATAATTACCTTTTCTGTAAAAGTGATTCTTGGGTTTTCATTAAATCTAAGCCATTGTCAGATAAACTGACCTAAATACTTATGTAGAAATAGCTGATCTTTTTAGTGCTATTATCATTCCAGATACAACCTTTTCAGACCTCAGGAATCCTCTTTGTCATTTTCCAGGTGTCATAGCTGTCGTCATTTTTGTTATTCTTACCGGATTGGCCATCGCTGCCCGACACCTGTACCAGAGGAAGGACACGTATCGAACCCAGGAGGAGAACAGGGTCAAACAGGAGGACTGTCCAGATTTCCCACTGAACAACCCGAATGACTCCCAGAACCTATCCATGGAAAATCCAAAGGAATACTTTATTTAACAGGAGTTCTAATGACGTGATGAGCCGCTGGTGTTTTATGATGTTGGGATGCCGAGAGGGAGCATCTGAAAGCCCCTCAGGACTTGGTCCGCTGAAGACCCTCCAAGACACTTTGCTACCAAAAGTGGCTCCACAGCAGGGCAAAGTCAAAGCAAACAGTTTGGTGTTGTGTTTCTGTTGCTTTACTGTAAAATTGTGGATATTCTGGTACAAACAGGCGACAGTGTTTGACTTCAAGGTGATAATATGCACTCTAACTGAATATCTGAAAATGAAATGTTGGTTTTGTGTCTTGGCGGCAGCTTTTGACAACTGTCCAAGTGTTGCTTTTAAATGTTGAAGATGACAGTCTTCATTTAAAAAGAGAGAAAAATGTGAAACTGTGCCCTCTAGTGGCATTAAGTGAAATGATTCCAAGATCAATGTATGTGGCTTGTGGTGGAAATATCACAAAATATGTATTAATGTTTTTTTTTCCCCATTTTTTGTTGTATCTTAATTTTCCTTCATGTAAATATCTGATAAATACCAATCTGCTTTTACAATGTGACAAATTTGTTCCACAATTTAGGTACACATTTTGTACAATATTAATGATTACCACTTATAACCATTGTATCGAAGGAAATTGTAGAACTGTTTCCATGGACTGCTTATTTTAGTTGCTTTAGTGACACCATTTCTATTTTTTGGACCAACAAAGACAAAAAGGCTTCTATACTCTTAAGATATAGTTTCCTCAGGACACTGTGGAAACCAAAGCGACTCTAAACCCGACCGAAGGTATTGGAATCAAACCAATCTGAGTAACAACAGTGGAGCATCTATTATGTAAATAAGGTTAGCACTTGTTATCATAGACCTGGTTCAGTTTGTAAAGCCTATGGTTACATAAACTGCTTAAACTGCTTGGTTAAAAAACATGAAAATTATCAATCAGGAGACTCAATCCAAAGCCATTTTGTAATATGCATTTCTTTTTTTTTTATCCAGTATAGAAAATCCAAATTAAACACCAGAGAAAAGAAAATAATCTGTGATGTTTTTTTTTTTTCCCCAACTGTCCTTTTAAAAAAAAAGGACAACCTGCCTAAATTATGTTGCTTTAGGACTTATGGAACAAGTTTGCTTTTTTTTTTTAACAAATGCAAAGTGAATTTTTTGCATTTTGTGATAGAATCTAAGATATGCTTGTTTTGCATCATGTTAAAATCCACATGTTAATGGCCTATACATGAATGCATGACAATCTCACAATTTATTAGGCAAATACTTCACTAAATTCTCTATTTTCTAATGGTCAGTCATGATAAAGTGGGTCATTTCCAGGCTAAGACTTATTAAGATTTAGCTTGAAGCTAATGAAGGAAAAGTCTCATCAGCCGTAAGCTAATGAACCTAAAAACTCTTTGTGAAAATTTAGATTGAGACCTCATGCCTGGAGCTTCAAAACTAATTTGGCACACTTGAAGTCTGCTTGTTTTTTTTGTTTTTTTTTTTCAATTTATACTGCAAAAGGGGGACAAAACTTTTAAGACTCAATATTTGACCGTTTCCGGTAAACAGTTTTCCCTAAGCTTGCTTGTCTAATGCAGAAAGCCTCCAACCACAAAACGGACAGAGGTTTTTAAAAATTAAATCTCGACAAAGGCTATGATTATATTTACAATATTTGCATTTCGAAAAATAAATTTCCCAACCAAAAACAAGAAAAATTGCAACAAAAAAAAAACATTTTTTTCAAAACACAGGTGAGCACAAAGCAGCCGAGCACACGGGGTGATGGTATGTTTGGAAAATAAAACTCGACTTTATCGAGACGAATTATTATTTATGTAATAAGATACTTTTAAAAAACAGACTACAAAGGACATAGAAGAACCCTGTGGTTATTCTTCACTCATGTTAAGTAGCCACAGTATGAAGTGATTGCTTGTGGCAAAGCTAATTTGAAACTGGAAGTCTTGTAGCATTTAGAGAAATTGTAATTTCTGCTTCTGCTCTGACTAGCAGTGTTACTTTGATGTGGATGAGGACGCTAATTTCCCTAATAGCTCCAGAACAGCTCATTTTACACGATTAGGTCATTTGGGCATCTGTTTCACTTTCCTCCATGTTTTGCCCTTTAAAATAAAAATGCTGCAAAGTCATATGACAGTTAAAATGTCGAAGGCCATTGTCTATCCCTTCACACATGCACCAAGGCAACCAAGACTGGCAGAATAAAAGATCCATTATAAAATTTAATAACAGAAAACATTAAAAGACAATTTAAAAGAAAAATAGAAAAACAATAAGGGCAAAGGACAGTGGAAGGACTGGCCTTACTAATCGTGCACTTCGGCGTTCAAATCTATTGTAAAAAGAAATGCATTTGAGAAATGTTTAGATTAAGTGTCCAAGCACACATCACAGAAAGTCCAAATTATTTAAATCACTTCCATGGGGCAGATGCATAAAATTAAACACCCGGGCATGAAGAATGTCACTACAAACCTCTGCAGAAAACATCTGCAGGAGTTCAGGGAACTGCAGCATGGTACGGTCCTAAATAGTCCACCATCAACTCTCAGTAGTGTTATAACACACTGGAAGTGACTGGCAACAGCAAGCAGATCAGCACAAAGTGGTGTGATACATAAATGTTCAATAGCTACAGATTGCCAACCTTCAGTGGTCTGTTCATCTGATGAATAGAGTGCAGAGGCTTCCAGAAATCGGTCTGCATTGCTGAGCCTCTGCATCCAAGCCATACATCACCAGGTTCAGTGCAAACTCTTGGATGCGCAGACATCTCAAGTCTCCCAGAAGTTCCGGGAGTCTCCCTGATATAGATAGTTATTCACGGATGCCCGCGAGTCTGATAAATTATCCCAGATTTCAGACTCTGCCAGGTGGTGTTTTTTAATGCGAGTGAGAGCAGGCGGGCAATAATTCATGCATCATGTGCGGATTAGAACTACTTCGAGGTTTAGGGAGGGTAAGCATCTCCCTGAAATGAGTTTTTGGAAGTTGGGACGTCTGGATGCGGTGGTATAAAGCCCGATGCATTGGATTCTGGAGCAGGGGGTGCACATCCTCCTGAGTGAAGGAACACACTTCTCCATTTGAAAATCTGATGGACGATTCCGAGTTTGGCAGCTGCCAGAATGAGGCTAGCTTTTATTGTGCTAAGTGTAATCTTTGTTGTGTTTTGGGGGGGTATGCTTTGCGATTGTTTCTCAGGAGCCATGCTTGGCCCCTAAGTTCCAGTATAAGTGATTCTGGATCATTACAGTTTTGAGATGCCCCCGTCCTCTTCCATCATGACTATCCACAAAATAAGGACTATAAAGGAGAGGAAGAGAGGGTTTGGTGTCAGAGGCTGTAGAGAATAGCCCAATAAAACACCTTGGGGATAAATAGGAGCGGAGACTGGTCAAAAATGGAAGAAAGGTCAAAAACCGCCCCCCAAAAAGCTACTAAATCTTGCATACAGCCTCCCTTCAAGAGTTCAGGCAGTTATAGCTGCAAAGGGTGCAGCAAGGTCATATTGAGCCCAATGCATAAACAGCAGGATGTCTCTTAAGTTCATGTGAGTTGAGGTAGGCGAATATTTTTGAAAATGTAGTTTTTGTTGGAGCTCTAAAAGATAAGAAGGTGCCAGACCTTTGAGACTGTAAAATATCAAGAGCAAAATTTGATAAAGAATTCTTAAGAACATGACAGCCAGAGAAGAGAATGCAATATTTATTGGCCATAATAAAAAAAAACAAGCGCAAAAGATGGATACAAAGGTCATGACTAAAACGGAGCTTCAACTAAACCAGTATTTACAGTTAAATGTTCTCTCCCTTCATTTGGTTCTCTCACAGAGAGAAATGTTTTATGCTACTTTCCTAGCTATAATATTTTCCACATCAAAATAACCATTTAAAAAGCTCAGTACTGATTTATTAAGGTTTCATTTTTTAAGATCTTGTTTTTTTCAGGTTCCAATGTATGAATTTTGGGATTAAAGAGGTGCTCACATGTACTGTTTACTAAAATTAATTTCCACTTTCTTTCTCTGGCTTCTCCATCTAGCCTTTTTTTCAACCTGTTTCTTCTTGCTACATGCAGAGAAATTTGCTTCCCAGATTTTTTTTTGTTTTGTTATTTTTTAATGCATTTTAACTACAGCAAACACAGCATAGACGCCTCACATAGAGCCATGTTAAATACTAATCAGCTTCAGCATACAGGTAAACGGGGCCAAACTCTAAGATACAAGAAATCAGACAGAAACACAATCCAACTTTTTTTTTAAAGACATTCTCGCTATCACAATTAAAGATCTCAAGTGCAGCTTATGTGCAAACAATGTTTATAAAAGCAGAAGCATATCAATTATAGAACTTCATAACAAACACTATCTTCATCCTACAGTCTGAAGTGCAGATGTGAATTTAATGACAAGTTGTTAAACTTGATCTCATTATGCGTGTTCCTTAGGAAGGAGTCAGCAGAGTTCAGCTCGATGCAGTGATAGTCCTCTTTAAGTCGTCTCTCTGCTTCTGTTGAACAGTAATTGTTAAAAACAAGCTTTTTGGTCTGAACAGCCGAGAACCAAATGTTTACACAACGCTGATGAGGGTCATAATAAAAAATACATCAAGTTAACTTTTGTTGTTTGCCTCCTGCTTTGAAAAACATGGATAGGATTGCAGATTATCAATAACAAAAAGGTCAAATATGAAGCATTTCACAATGACACGATATCTTTCCCATTTTCGGCAATGTGATTTTTGCCAAGGGTGAGCATCAACTCCCGTAAGATCCTGTCAAATTGTCCAATCAGCTTCCAAAATATTTTTTTTTTACTTTGCTGTATGTATAAATTCAAAAGCACTCCTTTGATATAAAACTACAAAAAGGTAACATAATTGTGTGCTTTAGTTTCAGATGAGACATCCAAGAACGTTTGTTTTTGCCTTCACTCTCTGCCCTTTTGTCTATTATAGCTTTGAGATTCATTCCACTTGAACAAATTACTTTGCATAACAACATTGATTAGACGCATTGAAGTAAATGTAGTGGTGGTGTCTGCAGAAGAGAGAAATCACTTTGACAGAATGAGGCACAGATCAAGCTCAGGGAACAGCAGAACAAAGCACAGTCGCAGAGGAGCTTGTGACAGGATGAGTGTTGTTCTCCGTGGATGGCTGCTTTAATGACAGCCAGCAAACTCATTCTGCAAGACAAACAAATCAAAAAGACAAACCTCAGCAGGCGTTTGCTAACACAGGCATACTCTGAACCTGCTTCATGCTGAACGTTTCTGACCACTAACACAGAACTTATAGGTGGAACACACAAAGGATGTTAGACTGATTACTTAAAAATATAGATTTTCTGATTACAAATGGTCCACAGTTGGGACCATAAGAATAATTGAATTGATGCAAAAATAAATTTTTGCATCAATTCAAGTATTTTTAGTTACTTTAACACAATTGTTTCATGTCTTGCATTAAAGTAACCAAATATGCTTCAGTATTCGTCCATTTCCAATGTGTTGTTCCAGTAGCCCATTTGACATCAAGATGCTCTGGTTCCCCAACACCTGAGGCATACCTTGTTTGGCCGGGCGAGGTCTGAGCCGGCATGTCATTCATTATATTATCTCTCATCATTGTAATATGTAGGCATTAGCATCAAGGGCGCTAACCAAAGGGCGCACAATCCTGATACTGAAGGACCCCTCAAAGGGTACATTCCCATCAAACTATTGGCCCATAACCTGCCTCACTGCTCTGTTCCATTATCTAAGTATTGCACTGCATATGTCCTTAAAGATTATACATGTTTGCCCTGACACCTCATATCAGTTCTTTTTTGGTAAAACTCTCTCACTCTAAAATTGCTTCAGCAAACCCACTTTTTTTTCCTGGAGAAAGCAGGCAGCATTTAAAAGATCATGTTCTCCATTTTTTTGTTGTTGCTGTATGTAACATAATCCAGCCTGATCAAGTATGGCCAAAACTCTCGACGA